CAGGTGAGATCTGGTTCTGGTTTGGGACTGATGACACTGACACCCCCACAGGGGTGCTTAGCACCCACAAGCGTGGATTAGTTCTAGTTCCTTCTTACCCATGTAGGAGAAGAGTCAGTGGCCAAGAAAATGTGGTTGGCTCTGTGAGTCATTCACAGCTCATTGTCCTGGCTGTGTACACTCAGGTCACCTGGCCTAGTGCTGAAGACAAGGATGTGGCGGGGGTCAGCTAAGCTTTACTGTTTAATTCCCCACCTCTGGACAGAAGCCAGGGCTGCTGAAGGATGGTGGGTAAAGATGGAGCAGGATCATGACTCTCACACAAGGCCAGGTCTCTCCTCAGAGAATCTCAAAGTGCTTAGCCAACTCTGAAGGAGGCTTCTAGGACTACAGGGTTCTCTCTTCAGAGAGAATGTGCAAGGAGAAGGAAAAAAATGGAGCCTGGGCCTACTGTGGGTTCTGCTTGGTGTCCATGTAAAGGAGACATGGTCTTAGTTCATTCTGTGAAGAACATATGACACCCACTTTTAAAATGGAGTTTCTGGGCATCTCAACAACATGCATGCATAGACAGAGGAAGAGGATTTGAAAGTGGAGTTATAGATGGGAAACAGGTGTGGAGAGACATGGACACTGCTTTAGACTCACTGGTCTGAGCCAGAAAGATCATAGAATTGTTAATTCTTTTATCATTTCTGTAAGGGGATTTTATCAGTGAGGTCTTCTATCCCTTCTTTACACTTGCCACTATGGTTTGGCTTGAGAACTGTGAGCTGGACACTTGGTTCTTCTCAGTGTGGTGCCACTGAGAGGCAGTAACTAGGAGGCAGGGCCTGGGGAGTTAACTGTGTCACTGGGGGGTGGATCTTGAGGAGATTAAAGTAGCTCTTGCAGGACCCAGACTCTCCCAAATTAACTGTATCAAGAGTAGGCCTACCCCTTGGCTCTCTGGGCACCATCTCAATTTATAGCCTCTCGTACTGTGATGCTGTGTCCTGTCTGATGTGTAGACACTGGCATATACTCTTGAGTCTCCAGAAATGTGATCTAAGTGAACAAACCTCTTCTCTTCATAAAGGACCAAGTATGTGATATTTTGTTATAGCAACATAAAATGGACTAACTCTTGCTCTTTTCCCTTCTTCCATCTCTTTTTCCAGCATGCCGGTACTTGTTAGCCAGGAATCCCAAGCCTTCACAGTATTTCCCTAACTGTGGACCAAGCCACGTTTTTCTAAACTGTAATCAGTGACACTAATTCAAGTAGATTATCCTCCTGCACCATGAAAACTATGAATATATGGCACATGTCTGTCACCATGGCCTTCATCTGTGGAGTGAAATATGGTTAACCCCAGAGAATGATTGTCAACTGACACTTTCCCATACTCCATTAAAATTTCCTTCTATTTATTTGGTGCCACAGCTTTCTTTTATGTCCCCATCCTTGATAATCACACAGGGACAGAGTTCAGGCTCTGACCTCTCTATCAGAGCTTTACCAAATTTCTGAAATCCAGTTTAGAAAATAAATCCAATTCAGAAGGGAGAAAAGATAATCCCCAAAGAACCTAGTTTGCCAACATTTTGCTCCAACCCAGCAGATGGAGTTATCATTCAAGGGCAAGGAGGTTCATCTTGACATTTAAAACATTTCACCAACATCAGGAAATATCATTAGAAGTCACTGCACAGTGAGCCAGCAGAAGGGCCCTGATGCAGAGGTCAAGGCTCGAATTAAGAGAGAGCCATTAGATTGGGCTGACTGACTGCTGAGCCACCAGGCAGCACAAGTCTCAGGGCTACTCAGGAAAAGACAGACTTAGAAATGACGCAGGTATGAAATCTCCTTACCTGTCCTCAGTTAGTTTCATTAAAGTTGTCCCTCGAGTAGAGAAGACAATGAAGGACATCCTTAGCTGTGGGCTGGAAAGGAGAGAAACTCTGTTAAGTCAGACAGAACACCTGGGGCATGTCAGCCTCCTCCTGGCTTCCTTCCTGTTTTTATCCTTGTATCATGGCTCCTGGAGCTGAAGAACTATCACCTAAATGGGAGTACCAGAGGATGTGGCAAAGGGTTTAGCTAATGGGCAACTTGAAGCTCCAAACCAAAGGTACCTGCTGTGCTTCCCTTCTGACAGCATACCACCACACAGTGGATATATCATAGTAAGGAAGATGAACTCCATCTCAACTCAGGACTTCCCTGAAGGGGACTGGTCTACAAGGTGTCTATGAAATGGTGAATCCTCTCAGAAAATTCTGACAGCATCTACAAGAAAGGTAGTATCTCAGAAGGATCACCATTCATTTAGACCCATATTGGCTGCCTACAAGGGGAAAAGGGACTACTTGGTCACAGAGGGACTCTTCTGCTCAGTGGTGATATGACTCATTCTTAATGAATAGATCAACATCACCATTACACACAGTACTCAAAAGTTTTCAGCATAAAATTCACTCTCTGGGTAACAGAACACTCTCATGGGAGGACTGGCAAGAAGCACCAGAAATCTGCACAGGACTTGGCAACTGCCTGCCATCCTGTGGGGCTCTTGTGGGGAAGCCAACTGGTCAACCTATCTTCACAAGCTATATGCCTCCCAGACTTGATCTGGCTCTGATCGTTGCACACATGGCCTCTTTTCATGGCTTAGTTTTGGACCTGGGCTTCAATTGCCTGCCCATTCCAGCTGTTTCCTAGACTCACTCCTGATCTGTTCCATTCTCCACGCTGCTCCCCAAGTTACATTTCATGAAATAGAAATCAGGTCTTGTTGCTTAACTGCTATGAGAGCTCTAATGGCCCTGGCTACTCTTAGGATGAACCTTATTACTATGTGCCTGACATATATTTGCTGTTACTGTTTTAGCAGAGTTGAGAAGCAATGGAAATTAGGCAGGGGTGTGGGAGTCAGCAAGAAAGTAGAAGTTAGAAGAGGAACAAAGAGACACAAGAGACTAGAGACAATGGCATGAGGTGGACAAAGAGGGAGAATGGCCTAAAGGGGGGAAGGGGGCAGCTGGCCCTCCAGGATGGCAGGAAAGACATGCATGCGACTCATAGGAGCAGAATAGGGTGCTGAGGGAACATCTGTCTGCTGTCCTCTAGGCTCTCGGTGACTAGGAAATGGAACTATTTCCTGAGAGTGATGGATGTGAGGTGTGGGCTGGGAGTCCACGGAAAGGGAGACAGATGAGAATCGTTCTTGGGAACCTGGGGGCTGGTCTAATAAAGGAAAGTAAAAGGATTTCAACTTAAATGGATCCTTCTGCGGTCAGTAGTGACATATTTGTGCTAGCATCAGCCACCCTGGTTTGGATTGGCATGGCCCCATAGATTCATACATTTGAATGCTTGGCCTACAGGGATTGGCATTATTAGGAGGTGTGGCCTTGTTGGAGTAGGTGTTGGAGGAAGTGTGTAATTGTGGAGGTGGGCTTTGAGGTCTCATTATATGTTCAAGCTCTGTCCAGTATAAGTCAGTCTCCTACTGCCTGTGGATCAAGATGTAGAACTCTTGGGGCTGGAGAGAAGGCTCAGCACAGTTAAAAGTACTGGCTGCTCTTCCAGAGATCCCAGAGTTCAATTCCCAGAACCCACATGGTGGCTCACAACCATCTGTAATGTGTATCTGAAAAAGTGACACTGTACTCAAATACTGTACTCAAATGAATAAATCTTTAAGAAAAACAAGATGTAGACCTCTTGGCTCAGTCTCCAACATCATGTTGGCCTGTATGCTGCCATGTTTCCTGCCAATACATTTTTTGGACTAAATCTCTGAAACCGTAGGCCAGTCCCATTTAAATGTTTTGTTTTATTAGAGTTGCCATGGTCTTTTCCCAGCAGTGGAAATCCTGACTGAGACACATCGGTTCCCTCTACACCACACTATGCTATTTAAAGGGTAAATAAAATCATCCACTCAACGTTTTGAGAGACTCCCACACTGTTTCCCATAGCATCTACATCAGATTAGACCCCAGTAACCGTGGCTTCTCCCTTCTACCCATCCTCACCAGCAGTCATTCTTGGTAATGGCCACTCCAACTAGGATGAGATGGAGTCTCAACAGAGTTTTGATTTCTATTTCCTTGATGGCTAAAGGTGCTGAACACTGTTTAAAATGTCTGTGTCTTTTCTTCAGAGAATTCTGTTTGATTCCATGGCCCATTTTTTCTTACGTGGCTTTCTTGATGACGAATTTTTGAGTTACTTGAATGTCTTAGATGTTAATCCTCTCGTATCAGACCTCTAGCTGGCAAAGATTTTATCTGATTCTGTTGGTTGTTTCTTCACCTGATTGACAGCTTCCTTTACTGTCGAAAGTGTCTTAATTTCAAAAGGCCCTGTTTGTTAGTTTTTTGCCTCATCTCCTGAGTAACTAGAGTCCAGTGGAAGAAGTCCTTGCCTATGCCTATGTCTTGTAGTGGTTCTCAAGTCTCTAGTTGAGGTCCTTGTTCCATTTGGAGTTTATTTTTGTTTAGGGTGAGGGATATGCATCTAGTTTCATTCTTCAACATACAGATATACAATTTCCCCAGCATCCTTTGTTGACAATACTATTTTTCCCTCCACTTATTCAAGAATGTTACCCAGTACCTGGCACTGCGAATAGCCTTTGGGCTGTTGCAGAAACAAAACTCAGTGATGGTCTTAGACCCTACACACTGAGGGATCTGCTATGGTCTGGATAGGAAGCATCTCCCAATAGCCTAATGTTTTGAGGTTGATACAGGCAATGTTCAGAGGTGAGGCTTTGGAGAATCAATTGTATCACAATGCCCTGCTTTCATTAATGGCTCAATCCAGTGATGGATTCAACATCTGAACAGTCTGCCCAGAAGTAGTGAAAATGTGGAAAGTGGAACTGGGGTGGAGGAAGGGTAAGTGGGTAACTGTGGGTGTTCCCTTAAGTTCTACCAGGTCTTCAGTCCCTGCCTGATGCTACTTCCTTCCCAGTATAAAGCAAGCAGCATTGCTACACCACATACTTGGGCCAGGATGTTCTATCTCATGGCAGCCTGGGAACAGTAGAGTTAGCATGGCATAAAACCTCTACAGCCATGAGCCAAAATTAACTTTCCTCCTTCTAGGTTGTTCTTCAAGTGGTCTGTCACAGGGACAAGAAATATGGCTGATACACTGTCCACGGCCAAGGAATCCAGAGGGAGAGGGCCTGAGGAACATAGCTTGGGGTCTAAAGTAAGCCGTGGAGACGTCCCTGGTTTGTTTTTCTTTATCTGTAAATCAGGGGGCTGGGGTAAGTGTTCTCTCAATAGCTCCACCCTTGTCTCTGATTCTCAGATAGTGAAGAGTGTGGAACTGCTGATGGGCATGGAGGCAGAGCTAGAGACCCACTTCCAGGCAGAGTCTGGGCGATTGGATATACACACATGTAATCTTTGTATGATCCTTTTCTGGGACCTCAGGTTTGCCAAGGTTAAGCCAATTTCTAGGGTTGCTCAGGGAGCTTGGATTCAAACTCATCTCACTGAACTGGATCCCTTTCCACTGGGCTCCTCTGCTCAGAGGGAGAAAGGAGGACAGCAAGTGGAGACAGAGCAGAAACCGCCAAAGACTGGGCGGTAGATGTGCTTTACGTCACTCGAAAGGGTCAATGGGTGAGAGTGCATGGGAGGATGCTTGGCTCCATAGCAAAACAGACTTTAAACTGAAATTGTCCAAAAGGGGAGTTTCTCATCAATGCTTTTCAACATGCGGCTCCTGACTGGCTCTCAGGCTAGATAGGGAAGTCCCTCCTATCCATCTAAAGTTCAGTGCTTTGTCTAAGTATTTTTTTAACACCACACATACTGTCTCTCTCCTTGATTTTTCCTCATGTTTCCCTTTCAGCACCTCCATTTCTCTAAGTTACCTAGGTGATCCCTGCTGCAGATTCAAGGACACCTGCCACCCTTCCTTTCCTGTTAGGAAGGTAAGAGCCTGTTGTTTGATAACTAAACGTGGGAGGAGACCATCTGCCATTACCCTGGGCTCAGAGTATCTTCTGTGCTACAGAAATGGACTGAAGAATTTCATATTGACTTGAATTTGTCTCCATGGAGGCCATCTACCACAGGGAGGCAGGGCTGCATCAGAGCTCACACACACCAGCTGCACTAAGAACCTTGACAACTGTGCTGCAGGTACATCCATGAAAGCAGTGTGAAAGCAATGTCACCTCCTTTATAGCAGGTGTCCTCCACATGGTCCTTCACAGCGACCATGCTCCAACCTGTCTAGCAAGGTGAAGTGAAGCCCACAGAGAGGATGCAAGGGTCATGTGACCAGCCATGACTTGCTCAGGGCTGTGGTGTGTTCGTATTAAAACCAGAAGGTTTACTATGCACCATGATCACCTAGCACTTTGTGACCTCCTATGCACAGGTTCCCCCAGCGTGCACTCCCACTGTGTCTGGGAGTTATCAGCACAGCAGATGGGCTGGACTCACTGTCAGCCATGAGCGAAGAGACCATGGGGCGCACTCACCTGATGAACCTATGAGCCAGCTGCTCCACGAAGTAGTAGATTTCATTCCAGTGGTGCAGCACACTTCCTGACCTACAGGAAGAGAGACATTCCGTCAGCGCCTCGTGCTACTTTTATTTTCAGTCTACTGTCTATGTAGAAGCGACCTATTAACTGGGTTCATCCATCACCTGAGACTGGTGTGCATTTGGAAATTAGCTCCAAGACTTAAACATTTTGAGGAATTCCTCCAACTTCATCTCCCATTCTCTCCCACACCTCCCACTGCACCAAACTCGAACAGTGAAACAAGCAGACAATCAAAAACCCCTGGGCTCAAACAGATTCACAGGCTGTTTCTAGATCTTGGTGACATGGTTACTTCTGTGGTCCTCTATGAAGAGGCTCTGTTCCAATTCTGCTGAGTAAAATCAGCAAACTGTGGTGGTTTCAGTGCATAGGCTCATAGGGAGTGCTACTATTAGGAGGTGTGGCCTTGTTGGAGTAGGTGTGACCTTGTTGGAGTGGGTGTGGCCTCGTTGGAGTAGGTGTGGCCTTGTTGGAGTAGGTGTGGCATGCTGTGGGAAGGGTGTCACTGAGGGTGGGCTTTAAGGTTTCAGATGCTTAAGCCAGGCCCAGCATCACACCTTCTTCCTTGCTGCCTTTGGATCCAGATGTAGAGCTTTCAACTACTTCTCCAGTACCATGTCTGCCTGCATGCTGCCATGCTTCCCGCTATGATGATAGTGTATTAAACCTCTGAATTGTAAGCCAGCCCCAATTAAATGTCTTCCTTATTAAGAACTTCCAAGGTCATTGTGCCTCTTCACAGCAATAGAAACCCCAAGACACCAACAAAACAAATGCCGCTCCAAGTCTCATTTCATTTAAAAGTATAGATTATTGGTAGAATTTTAAAATAAATTATTGGAGGAAAGAATCCAGCAGGTTTCCTAAATAATAATCGACCAACTGGTATTTATTTTAAGAAGTCTCTGAGAGTTAAACAACTGGAAAATCTACTGAGTCTAATGTGGTTATTGAGAAAAATGAACAAAAGAAGAAAATGGCTCAACTCTTCGTATTAAAAGGGAATGCACTTACTGAAGAGAGAGATCAGTCTCTGGAAATATGCAATTGTGGAAGTTTAGGTTTGGAAAGTTGATTTTTAACTCTCCTGCATTTGATATTGTTTTATGATCCCATTTCCAACACGTTGACTTGGCCTATTTTCTCCACAGGCTTATGCTCAGTCTCTCCCAGTGGGACTACCTTAGCCTTTGTCTATCCAAACCTGAGTAGCCTTTTCCCCTTCAGAAACAGATCTGCTCAACAAAGCCGGGTCTGCCTGCCATTATAACTGAGGCTGCAGTATGCTTTCTGCTCTGACACTTTGTATTGCAAACACTTTCTACTGGTGTCTGGTTCTGTCTATCTATCTATCTATCTATCTATCTATCTATCTATCTATCTATCTATCCATCCATTCGTGTTATGTGAGTGTGTGTGGTGTGTGTGTGTGTGTGTGTGTGTGTGTGCACATGTGTGGTTTATACACATGCATACAGTGCAACCTGATACCAAAAGAGAGCATCAGATCCCCTGGAGCTGAGCTGAACTTAACAGGAGATTGTGAATTGGCTAAAGTGGGTGCTGGGAGCTGAACCTGGATCTTCTAGAACACTGAGCTGAGCCATCTCTCCAGCTCCCTCGTGATACAATATTCTTCTTTTAAAAGAATTATTTCTTTTTATTTGAAGGGAAGGAGTATTTGCCTGCATGTGTGTAAATGCACCATATGCATGCTGTGTCCATGGAAGCCAGAAGAGGGTGTCAGATCCGCTGGAGCTGGAGTTGGGAGCCATCATGTGAGTGCTAAGAACTGAACTCTGGTCCTCTGTTCTCTTTTCCCATGTCAGTTGGTGTGTTCCATCTCTTTGAAAGGAATTTATTTTTCTGTTTCATACCCAGACATGCTCTGTTCATCCCACTTAAATGAAAATGAAACAGTTCATCACATATCTGCATACCAATAACAAGGTGTCCTGAGGGTCACAGGTACACAAAAGCAGGAGGAGGCGGTGTCCCTATGCTCGGGGCCTGGGCTGTGCCTCCCTGGCCCGGGGAGGGTAGGGAGGGGTTAAAGGCTGTGTTCAGATAGGCACTGAGAGAGAAGCAGACCCTGTTAACAGACCTAGTGACTGAAGTCAGAGCTTTAAAAAGGACCATGGGATGTTGGGCTCTTTCTCCAGCTGTGCACCCACTTCTGTGCTATTGTGGTGATTTGAATAGGTTTGGTCCCCCATAGACTCATGTGTTGGAACCCTCACCCCATTGGGAGTGGCACTATTAAAAGGTGTAGCATCATTGGAGTGGGTGTGGCCTTGTTGGAAGAAGTGTGTCACTGTGTAGCCAGGCTTTGAAGTCTCCTATGCTCAAGCTCTACCCAGCGTGGAATAGCCTTCTCCCAGCTGCCTGCAGAAGTCAGTCAGTCTCCTGCTGCTGCCTGTGGACCAAGATGTAGAACTCTCAGCTCTAGGCAACACCAAGTCTGCTCCTGTGCTTTCCACCACGATGATAATGGACTAAACCTCTGAACCTGTAAGCCAGTCCCAATTACATGTGTGCCTTATAAGTGTTGCCTCAGTCATGGTGTCTCTGGACAGCAGTGAAACCCTAACCACAACAGCTATGAAGTGGAGGCCTTCTTTCCCTGTCTTCCTCTTCAACCCTTGCTTTTGGTGGGTATAATTCTATTCCTTTTATTTTTTAAATTTAATTTCTTAATTATTGATAACTTCCCACATGTATATAATGTATTTTTATTCACTTTTCCCACCACCTACCCTCTTGCATGCCCCTCCCACTGAACCCCTTCTAGTAAGAACATGTTCCCCATGACTTCTCATGCCACCTCACAGGAGTGACCACTAACCCACGAGCCCCAGTAAACCCAGTGAGTCACATTAACAAAAACCCATTGTGAGAGACCTGGCTACAGGGAAAGCAGAGACTCAGACTGGGGAGAGAGGAGAAGCCCTTTAATGCACTGCGTAACAATGGGTTTTCATACCTAACACAATCCTAGCTGAACCCAAACTCCCACTCAGGAGCCTGGCCTTCCTGGTGCCACAGCCCCCTACCTCACCCAGCACTCACAGCTTAGTAATCTGTCCTCCCTTTTCCTTCTTCTGGAAAACACCCAAGGGGACTCTGCGTAGACCTCTGCCTCTCCAGTAGTAGAAGATGCAGCTCCTTGGACTTACAGGCTCTCTGGTATGCACTGGCCATTTGCCTTTTGACTGATTTTCCAGTTAGAAACCGCCCTAGTGACTACTCCCAGTATAACCACCCCCTGGTAGCTCAGACCTGTGGTGACTCTCACCTAGAGCCTGGAATCAGATTCCTGATCCTAACTGGAAGAAGCTAGGTGCTGTCTGGGAAAATGGCAGCTTGTATTCAAGGTCAGCTTTTCTCCAGCCAGCTGTGTGTTTTTAATCATATGACATCTCTCGGGTCCCCTTTGTCTGTATAAGGGTCAGGATCTAAAACCCAGCTGTGTTGGACTAACCTAGCCATAGCTATCCAAGCTGCAAGGTAGAAACAAGAACTTCCTTCTAAACCCAAATATTAAAAAGTACCGACAAATGCTTGCTCCCTCAGATATGGTGGGTTTGAGTGGCATGGAGACCAGTGAAGGGTCTCTTCTGGGGATTTTGTGTCTCTATTCTGCAAGCACTGTTCTCTTCATAATCTGGAATTGAAATAGTCTCCCAGGAATCCTGCCTGCAGACAGCATTATAGAATTGTCTATTGGAAGATTCACTTGATACACTTGAGATCCAATCAGAGCCAGGTTAGTGTCCTTGCCTATTATCTGCTGAGGTGGGTTTGCAAAAGGGCTAGCCACTCCCCGGGGAAGGAAGTCATAGGTCTGCACTGTGAGTCCCTGCAGGTGATCACTGTCAATAGCAGTCCCAGGCCCCTTACTTATTTTTGTTTTTCTATCTCCAGTATTTGAAATATGATAAGAAGTCAAGAAATGTTTGACGTCATACTCTGTGAGGGATTCTGTATGGAGCAACCTGGTGTTGTCCTCAGGTGACAGTCCAGTCACTTCCAAGGGCCTGATATGTCCGCAAAGAGGGGCAAAGCAGAATCAGACATTTTACCCAGTTGTTTTCCGAACAAAAGTGCATTCTTTTCTGCTCCCAAGGGGAGAGTCTCTAACCCTGTGGTTAAATGCCTTGAAAACACATTTGCTATACAAGCAACCAGAACATAATGAAAAGGAAACACAGCAAGCATGCAGCGGGATCCACCACCAGTGACCGCTTACCCTGGAGGCCAACATAGCTAAGACAGACATTACAAAATGGGCAGTCTCACTGATCCTTACCCCCACCTGGCTTACGTCACTGATGCCAGTGACCCTCTTGGGCCCTGAGTGGGTACAGATAAACGTAGACGCTTCAGAGACAATGGGTGGACCCAAAATTAGCCACAAGCTCCCTTGCCACTGTGTACTCTCGTCCAGATCCCGCCCCCCACTCCACACTCTCTTTTCTCTCCTCTTCTCCTTCTATACCCTCACAAGTTGGAGCCTCATTTTGACCCAGGTCTTTATCAATTGTTTTCTTGTGGTCAAGCCAAGTCTCTCTCCTGGACCTTGACTCTTGCTTCTGCTTCCACTTCTTCAAACAGTTCAGATCCAAACCCAATGCTGGGCATCTTTCTTAGTCCCTTGTCTGGGGAACACTCCATCTGCTGCTCTGGAGCCTCCAGCAGCCATGATGTCTGACTTCTCTCCTGCCACATGACTTCCCTTAGTCAGTCCAACCGATGGCTTTGAAAACACTGACGCTCACACTGTAGAATGCAGGCAGAGATTGGGAAATCAGCTACTGGGATAGCGCCAACTTTTCTTTTTTCAAAGAAATGAAGCATAATAAGATTGAAAAACCAGAATGTGCTGCTGAAAGTAACAGAAAACAGTGCTTCAGGCGACTTCTGGGTAGGCCGAGCAAGTGCAAGCAGGCAGGCGCCACGTTAGGATATAAGGAGAACTTCTTTCTGTGACTCGTGATTCAAAA